ACACACACACACACACACACACACACACCAGCATGAACAATTACTGAATAATTGCTGGCACAAAGACGTATACTTTCACTCAGTGTCCCTCTCTCTTTCAGTTTCTCTCACACACACACACACACACACACACACACACACACACACACACACACACACACACGTAAACTCCTATCCCCGCAAGTCCCTCCTCTCCAATTTACTGCCAAAGCTGTCTCTACAAAAGCAAATCTCTTTTTTTCACCATTACAATGAGAATTGCTCCTGGCAAAGTCCAAACAAAACCAAAAGTTTGAGAAAGGCCTTCATTATATTGCAGCTGGTTAAACGTGATTTGAATGGTGATGAATGGAAATGGCAAGCTCGGAGCCAGAGAAGCAGCAACTCCCTAAAGACGGATTTGAAATGAGCAATGATGAAGTGTTTGTGATGCTCTTTGTCTTTAAAGACAAGTTTTTAAGCCCATCGACTGTTTTAAATCAACCCTAATCGTGCAAGGCCAACTTTGAGATAGAGTTGACCACTTAGGAATAATCTATGTCATGAAATAAAATCAAAATACAGTACAGAAAGTGAGCGGAACAGCGGCCCGGTGGCCAGTGCCATGTCCTTCTCTACATGGTCCTTCACAGGGGCTATCGTTTGCATTTTGAGTTAGAGCCATGACGATCTGTCTCCAAAGCTGGAGACCTCCATCTCCCAGCGGCAGGGAGGGAGGCGGAAGACAGCGGGTGCACCATCTGGCCAACTCTTGTCTCATTTGTGGTCTGATAAACTGTAAATTCATCAAATTCAGTGTCCCATATCACTATTTTCCACGCTACTGTAGTTGTACAGACAAATGGAAGTGGGCATGGTTTCATCTCTCAGCCCACTTTTTTAGGACTTTTTAAAATGATGCAGTGGGTGAACTTAGGCTCGGACCTGAGGGTGTTGTTACACAGATATACAGCTGCACAGACACAGAAAGCAGCTGGATGTTTCTGATAGAAATATGCTACACAAGGAGGTCCGTGCATCAGGGGGTTGAAGGTGCAAAGCGGCAACAAGCATTGCAAGAGCAGTAAATTAAGGTAAAAATGACTTTATGCAAACGTACTACGACGAAAAATAGTGACACCTCAGAGGAAACAATTGCATTTGCACTGATTGCAAGTGCGGAAGTAAAAATAAAATCCCACTTAGATCTGAATATGTTAATCATGTGCTGAAAACAAATATGCCCAAATAAAGACACAGATAGTGAGAGATAAAGGAGAGAGACAGTCTGGCTTTTTGTATTTGTATGTGAATGCTCCATCAGAGGTCCCCAAGGACTTTTGCTCAATTATTCATTTTGCTTAATACCTGATAACAAGACCGATGCTTTCAGTCTCCAGTAGTTTGCCCTGTATTGTGCACATAATAAGACTGCAGATAAGAGTATGCTCTGCAGTCTCTCTTCTTAAAAATCACTGACTCACAACAAAACAAGGGAAAAAGGACAAAAGAGCCAAGCTGAAGTTTATTGCAATAATATAACAGACATGAACTCCATGTTATTTTTCTTTTAGTTTTATGTTCTACTGGTCATGTTTTTCTTTTGCTTACAGGATAAATAATGCTAACCTGAGTTGCGATAACCTTGATAGCCTCAGAGCACACAGTTGGTACTTAAAGAGGAAATTAATGTTGGCTCTATCAGCAATTATCGCACTTCAATGCAGCTATTAATGATTTAAGTTAAAACCGCGTTTCACGGGTCAAGATGTCTACTGGGAAAGAAAAGGTCCATCCAGCGATAACAAGGACCTTTGTTTCATTGTTTACTGTCCGCTGGGGCTTCTAATAATGCTAATTGCTGATTAGCTGACACTTCCACCTTCACCAACATGCCTCTGGTGAGAACAGCATGTTGGTAGAAGGAACTACTAGTCTCACTCTTGTGATCTTTTATTTATCATTTTTTTTCAGATCTATTTTACAGCTTAATGCAGTCAAACACAGCTGTAAACATTCTTTGAAATGCTAATACAGTTGTTATGTGACATTTTTGATGAAGCTTCTACCAAATATCACCATGTGTGCGTGTGTCGTGTGTGTGTGTGTGTGTGTGTGTGTGTGGGGGGGGGGGGGAGAATGTACTGCAGGCTTGGTTTACAAGTGCAGCAGCCAGTGTGGGGTCACAGTACAGCAAAAGTATACAATTTGGGTGATAATAACATTAACTTATCTTAACTCTGATGCCTTTAAGCTCAAATGACCAATCGCGGCCTTTTGTCATATGACATATGGAGCACCTGATAGTGTTTTGCACTGTTATAGTAACTGTGGGAATATGTGACACTCCGAGCCATAAAGGGATAATGTTTCTCTCGTAAATACTATACATGCTCGATCTCACGTTGCCCACAAACACAGTATACAGGTTTTATATTGAGGTATGTTTTCAGAAAATATTTTTCTGGGGATAAGCAGAAACTCAAAAACTCCAGAATGTCTCTGTCAAGTCATCATCCACTGCCTTCTCCTCTATGAGGCAGTGAGAGAGACACCTCTCCAGGTCTCTGAGGACCTCCGAGGCAGAGGACAGGAGGGAGAAGCTGAGCCTGGATGTTCAGACACTGTATTTAAACCACATGCAGACAGACACTTACTCAACTCTATCAGCCCTCTCTGTTCTTCTCTATATTCATTACTCTCTTCTTCAACCCATTATCCCCACCCCATGGCGTTCCTTCCTTCAGGCCTACATGGCAATCCAATCTTTCTTGATCTTTCTCTGTCCGTCACACTGGTTTTTTCTTTTGTTACACTTTGTTTTTGCCTTCTCTGTCGACCATACTGATCTCTACTCCGCCCGTCAATCTCTCTTTCAAACTTCTCCGTGTAGCACTGCGGGATTAATAGCTGCGCGGCTGAAGGGATGCTGTTGCAGGATAACACGCAGGATATTAATCTGCACAATACTTATTTCACGAGCAGTCAGCTGTGAGAAAACAGGGCCCAAGAGAGGTAGTAATGTGCCTCTTTTATTTGTAAGAGTCATTGTGCCTTCTACATCATTGTGGTCCTTCTTTTGTTTGCCTTGAAGTCCATTTTCACTTCGGCAGACTTTAATTTAGTTTCTTTGTTAATTGTTAATTGTTAAAAAGCAAAAAACCTGTTTTGAGGGAAACGCAACGCTTGTTTCATTCATAAAATAATTAAAATAAATAGTTTATGAAAAATGCATTGGCCTTTTGTTCCTCCTTTGTAGCTGTTTTACCTAAGATTGTCATCATGCTCACACATATAGAATGAAACAAAAACAGTTTCTCCACTTACTGACTTGTGTTCATGCCCCTTTATCTTTTTTTTTTTAACTCCCTCCCAGCCTTTATCACTCCTCATGTCTCTTGGTCGCTCATACCATCTCTGTTTTTCACACACAGTATACAGCCTTTGAAATATTCTCTGCTCTTTTGTGCTTAATGCTGGCTGCCTCCCCTCAGGCATATTAGCCGTCTTTTCCCCATATTGTGAAGTCGCTTATTGAAACATAAGGCGTGACATGGGGAGGCTTTACCAGAGGTTTGCAGAGTTCAAATCCTACCTCATTTGCATATAGGCTATCACAGTGTATGTCCTTGAGCCCCAAGGCAATGTGGGATATTGGATGTATGGTTGCTGTAACCCCTGGATGACAAGAGATGAATAAACACATACAGATGCCAGCATTGACTGGTTGGTACTAGTTTGTGCTAGTGTTCAGTATCAGATCAAAAGAAATAACGAGCTCTTATTTGCTACAGTGGCTGTTTGCTCTTTACTGGCCGGTCCCCCAATACGTACAAGTCGCATAACCATTGGGTATCAAAGTGCTTTCCAAAATGGGGCTAACGAAGCAAGGAGCAAGGAGGCACACCTGGACATCAACAGCAATAACGAAACATAATGAAAATAAGGTATAGTTAAAATTACAAGGTAAAAGCAATCGAGCATAAAGATGACAATAAATAAGAATGTGGACTGATTCAGCTGATTTCTGTGCTTCACTCCATCACTGCTGCCACTGCTATGTTAGGTTTGATTAGGTTCAGGCCAAAGATGGAGGTTGTGAATTTAAAAAAAACTGAAAAAACTTGACAGTCGGTAGGAAACGGAACATGAAGCATTACCTTCCAAAGTTTTGAGGCTCTATGATATGTTACATTACTCTTGCCTTTGCTCTTGACAGACGGGGAGTAATTCACACATCAACTAGGTCCATCTCAATTAAATGTAAACACAGGCTACACCCGGCAGGGGAACACTAAAGCTATGCTAAACCAAGACCACTGGAGACCCTAAGTGGTGTAGTAAAGCAGCCTGAACAATGCTTAACATTCCCTTGTTGATCAAAGGGCTTTACATGAATTTAGTTTTGTAGTGCAAGTCTTAATTTGGACTGGACTCTACATTTTATACAGAGGGATTATATAAAAGAATGTGCATTAACAAATTAGCAGTGTTTCTAGAAACGTGGTCTTGAATGGGTGCACAGAAACAAATCCTTGACAATGAGAACTTGAAGAATAAAAATAAATAAATGAAAGAAAAACACTCCAATAAATGTGTATGGACACTACTGCTGAACAATTTACAGATTAAGTTTCTTATTTATCAGTGTAGTGACAATTTAACGATAATGCAACTTCATGTGCATAGTCGACACTAATTGGATAAGATCACGTTAAACAGAAGGACAACATCCACATGATATATTGGTGCAACTGCATGTAAAGTGTACACACATGCACACACACACACACACACACACACACACACACACACACACACACTCCCGTTGAACATCTCCTGATCATGCTGCATTACATTACAGCAAGGCTTTTACACCACCTCTTTATGGTAGCTTTCTCAAATAACATCCCCCATAAACCATAAACACAAAGCCATATAACACCCTGGCATTTAAATGACAGACACACACACACACACACGCACACACACACACACACACACAAACATGCGCCTCTTACCGGAGTGAAGTTCATGACTTTGAGAATCCAGATGGTCAGCGCCAGGTTGACAATCATGGTGACGAGAAGGAGGAGGATGAAGAAGTACAAGCATCTCTTCCTCCAGCCGTAGATTCCCACTGCCGGGTAAACCTGGGCGCCGCACACCGACGCCCCCCGCTGGTGGAGCGGGTTGGGCTGCGCCGCAAGGATATACTGCTCCTGGGTCATCTGAAAGGGACACAAATATCAGACTTTTCTTAGTCTTACTCTCAATCCTATTCTCAGTGTCATCATTATTATTAGTAGTAGTCGTATTGTCATTATGATCTCTAACATTGAGCACCGATTTCAGGAGAAAAATATTCCTAAAGAATGCAGAGGCTGGAATCACCAACATGATCGTCATTCATCAACTTAAAATGTCTTGCTTTTGTTTTTTTCATTTTGGAGAGAGAATCTGCAGATGTTCAGCCCTGCAGGTACTAGACAAGCGTCGCAGGGAAGACGTCAAGGAGAGAAAGAGAGAGAGAGAGACAGAGAGAGAGAGAGAGAGAGAGAGAGAGAGAGAGAGAGAGAAGACAGAAATGGCATTTTTAAGCCTCCCTTTTTTTCATGCATTCAGTACATACTAAGTTTCGGTCACAGTTTTGGGGAGGATGGAAACAGCATTAAACAGGTGAAAATAAAAGAGGACACTGCGTGAGACACTGAAAGAGTTTGGAAGTGAGAGAGCGTAAAAGAGAGAAAGACCGGAGCATGATGAAAAAATGAGATCGAGGTGGAGCGGTGAAGCGGTGCGATAGCACGCCATCGAGTAGTGAGAGATAGAAAGGGAGGATGGAGAGAGGGAGAGAGAGAGAGAGAAGGGGTAGATAAGATGGCAGAAGAGGACAGAGTCCATTAGTTGTAGTGCAGCAGGAGGAGTCATTGGTGGTAAGAGATATGGACACTGGCTCCAAGGCACTACTATCTCTGTCCATCTCCGACTCGCTAACTCTCTCTCACTCTCCTCTCTCTGCCTCAAATTCTCTCTCTCTCGCTCCCTAATTCACTTCCTATCTCGCTTCTGCACCTCTCTCCCTCTTTATCAGTCTCTCTCACACACACACACACACACACACACACACACACACACACACACATTATGTCTTTATTTGCTGAGGCTGCATGACCTTAACACCTCACTGACTGTTGTCTGTCCCCCCCCCCATGCTATTTCCTCCATATAGTCTCACATGATGATACCACCAAGCCTTGATGAGAAACAAAAATGCTGACTATTGCTTTGCCTGCAGAAAGAAAGAAAATCGCAGACTTGGCCTGTTCAACTTTTGTTGGGTTTTCGACGGAGGAGTCTCTGAAGCAAATATCAATCTGTAATCCGTGTCTCCACATGGGTCCTGTCTCTCTCACGCAGAAAAGCAAAGCCCAAGGTCTTTTGGGAGCTTTGAGATTGAGGTGAGAATCTAATCTGACCAGATACTGTAGGATTTCCCTGTACCATTACACTCTACCATCCAACTATTGATTTCAATCAATTACGCCCGGATTTCTTATCTATTTAAAAAAAAATGATGTATGGTACTAACAACATATCACTGAGCAGAAAGCTGTTACAGGCAAACCGAGACTAACATATCCCTACTTTTCTGATGAAAACCACTAGAATAATAAGGCAAGAATACTAATCTGACCAGTCCCACAGCATGATGGCGTGTTACAGAATCTAACTCAGTGTTGTGTTTTCCTTTCCACTTCGGGAGCCATTTTCCACCTGAATTAGCAGAGATACTGGGTGACTGGACTTCGATAAAGCAGAGCCAAAACCCAAGACGCAACTGTACTCAATCAACCAGAACATCTCTGGAGATACACACACATAGATGTGTTTGGCTGCATTAACTAGGAAGAGTGATAAGCAACAGATATTTGTTAAAAAAAATAAAATGGAGGACAAGAAAATGGTGTTTAATATCAGATTTAAAGGAGGCGATGAAGGGATAGATAAGGCAATCCCCCTTTTTGGCAAAGGAAAGATGGAGCTGCTTTTCATGTGCATACCAAATTTGCACTTAATATTTGCAATCCAATTACTTTATAACTATGCACACGCTGGATCTGAGACACATATTAATGCCAACTGGAGAGGGCTTCATGTTTGTCAAGTGGACAAATGGATTTATGTTGATTTCCCCTTTCGCAGTGAAGACATTCTCCTGCGATGTTCTCAGCTGCTTCATCTGTTGCACTTTTTGGGTGCACCTGTTCCGTCTGTGCAGACACAATGCATATGAATCAATGGTATTGCTGTGGAATAGAGCAATGGGCTGGTGATAATTGCATCTCAGTATTAAGTGTTCACAATGAATCAATAGCAGCATGTGTGCGTGTGTGTGCGTGTATGTGTGTGTGTGTGTGTGTGTGTGTGTGCTATGTTTGCTGTGTGTGTACTGGAATGCTAATCATTTTTCCTGCATGTGTCAACAGTGGGAATCAATAGGTGCACAGATATATCTGTGTGTGTGTGTGTGTGTGTGTGTGTGTATGTTTTTGCATGGATGTTTCTCAAGGGCAAGAATGTGAATCAGCTAAAGAACCGATGTCAGCTACAAAAGCTATTCCTGTTTTGTTTTGTATTCCGATTCAGAAACATTTGTATTGCCAGGTAGTTTTGCACACTATTCAAGTGATTTGTATTGGTGTTTTGGTGCACAATGATACGAATTAATGATTATCCACAACTGGCTTTGAAACACATAATTCGGTGTCGCTTGAAGATTATGTTTGGTCACTTTTTTTCAATTACTCAGTGATTTGCATCCTCACATGCTCTGTCACTGACTCATTCATCGCGTCGCATATGTATTTGTGTCCGCGTGTCTCATTGCACTCACAGCTATGCATGGTTATCAATCTAACTCAGCATCTTGACAAAGTATTATTTTCTCCTCCCCCATAGTTCCCCGATTACGTGCATCGTATTCGTCATACGTTTGTCACCCTTTCCTTCCCTCGGCTCTTTCCTTGCTTTCTTCCTTTACCTTTCCTTCCATCTTTGTTTGCCATTATTATTTCTCTCTTTCTTTTAAGTCATTACCTTCCTTCGTAATTTACATTCAAAGCATCTGTCCTTGCTCTCACTCTCCCCCTCACCCAATACACAGCCATCAACTTCTCTTATCTTAACTTCATACTTCAACCACATTCTTTCTACTCCGGCTTTCCACACTTGCCTCATTTCATTCTTCCTTTCCACTCTCCATCCCCCGATTCATTTTGTCCCCCGTCCTTTCCTCCTTCCCTTCCTCTGTCCTTACACTGATCCCTCCCTCCCTCACTCCTCCAATGCATTTCTTAGATTGAACTGACAGCAGAGTCATTAATCAATCCCATGGTGCACCACAGCCTGGAGGCCCTGCACAGCATGACCTAACTTTATTAACATCATAATGTCTTGACAGCCATAAAAACAACCGCTATTAGCGCCGCGTCACCATGGTTACCATTACATAATACCGTCTACTGTGATCAAACGATGATCTCAGTAGAACCATACTCTAAATCAGACTTTATATTAGGTATAGAAATGGCATGATTTTTCATTTTTGGCGATATGGTGGTATACGTAGAGGTCAGTAAGACCAACAAAAATAAAGGAAAAACATCGATAACTTCAGTGTTTTTCACAGTTTGCATGACTATGTGCAAATCAGCAAAATGGAAAGTAGCACACTGCGACCACAGTTAGGACCAAAATGCAACATTTGTGATATATAAGGGTTTTTCCTTTCACTAAATTAATTGGTTACAGTGACCATCAGGGTAACACGTGAGCACTATCACATAAAAAACAACTTTCAACATGACGAAGTGGTTAAACACATCCACATGACAAACCGACATGATGTCACTATAACACACTCACACACGGCAGTCCTGCATGACACCAGACTGAGGCTGAGCTCCTCACTTTGAGGATTAGGTGGTAAGAAGATGAGAGGACATGAAAAAGACGAGAGGAGACAAAGAAGAGCAGGGAGAAGACATAAGAGACAAATGAGAGGAATGAAGAAGAGAGAAGTTTATATGACGTGACCCATACACACGACTTATTCAGCCCCGCAACGCCTCAAAATGAGAAGCACAAAATAAAACCATTACTCTGATAGGAGCTAATAACAGAAGATGAGAGGACAGGATGCATTACTTGAAAGTGTTTTTCATCTTTCAAGCAGCTCAATTTCACATAAAAATTCTAAATGCATTATGAGAAATTAATCATTTGCCCTTATATGACAAGTCACAGGAGTTCCTTGCAGTGAATAAGAAAACATGGTTTTCTTCAGGCTGGAAGCTATATGTCTATGGACATCACTAAAACGATGGTAACGTAAAACCTGATTATGAATAGTGTTTCAGTCGTAGTTGTAGTTCCACGGGCATTCCCTTCTTTGAAGTTAACTTAAGCTTCTCATGCACAAGACATTTCAGAAAAGTCGGATACCGATGCACGGTATCATCCTCTCTCATGTAACCCAATGAATGTTAATGCACGTGGGATGTGAAGTACGTGTCATGTCAGATTCAGCTTGGTGGACGTTGCGAATAGAGGCGAGCAGAGTGGTAGTAGACATACACAGGTGCTGCCTGATAACATATGTGAAAGCAAGATAAACTGACAGAAATTGGTGGATATGGATGGATTTGAGGTGGACGCATGGCAAAAAAAATGAAAAGATGGACTTGTAGTCTCAAAGTCAGACTGCTTTAAGGTTTCGCTTCACAGCTGAAATGCGTATCAAAGTGTGATCTGTATGCGCGCATGGCCAATTGGTGCTGGGGCCGCCCCGGTGTACCTGTCAGCATGTCGGCACCACGCAGCCCAGCTCTCCTCTCATCTGCTTACACTCAATCAATACCAGCGCTTCAACATCGCTCCACTTCTGAGGGCTTTGACATTCTCTCCCGGTTTCTCTTTCCATCGGCCTCTTTAATGCGAGCTGTCGAGGAGGGCATTAACTATGCATAGTTGAGTGGTAAAGATCAACCACTCTGGCTTTTATCTTTTTTTTTAACATGATATTTTGTAGATTCAAGGTGGAGAAGCCAAAATGTTGCATCGATATCCAATACCGTTTCTGAAATGTTTTCATATATCATAGAAGTTATAAGTTATAGAAAATGCTTGCATTATTGTTTTATTCACCCAGAGCACTACGTGACACCAC